CATGCTGAACAGTAAACCTCTGGGACTTATTTACAGCAATGAGGATCCGGATACATATTTGCACTACAATGGAACCAGAACAACTCCTGACTTACACATAGCTTCAAGCGACATCAGCGAGCATACACGACTGACGATCCTGATTCTGCTCACAAACCAATCATTGCTAGTATAACCATTTGCAGCAAAAGCATGACAACGAAATTTCTAACTAAGCTGTCATGGAACTTCAAGAAGGCTGACTGGCCAAGATTCAAAAAAACGTTTAGACAATGAACTGCATACAAGTCCAGTCAACTTCAACCAACATTCTGACAACCTTCACAAAATATCACGAATATTATAATATGGTGTGTAAAGAAAACCATTCCCCGAGGCAAGAACAAACACTAACGAGTGTTTTGGTCTGATCACCTTGGGGAAGTGGAAAGAAAGCGTGACGCCGTTCGCATCACTTCTAATAGACTGGAACAATAGAAGACGTACAAGCCTGGAAACGACAGTCAGCTGTCCTAAGACAAGCCATCTTACAAGCTAAAGGAATTCCTTCGGCAAGTTCATCTCAAATGTCAACTATCAAATCTTCAAGAGATTTAAAGATACAAGTAAGACAGTTTTCTATAGCAACTCTAAACAATGTACTTACTGAGCCATTCAGATCTTGCCAACTTAATGCTGCGATAAAACAGCTCAAGTGCAAAAGACCCCTGGCGAAGACGGTATTTATCCGGAATTTCTAATTAGAATGGAACCGAAAGCCAAGGAAACCTTGCTAACGCTTTTCAACAAAATGTGGGAGACCAGTTTCGTACCCAATCAATAGAAAGTGACCATAGTAATATCAGTATTTAAAAAGGGCAAAGACCTTAGCAACTTTGACAACTATAGGCCTATCTCCCTCACAAGCGTGCTGGCTAAACTTATGGAAAGAATGGGTAACAGGAGGCTGACCTGGTTTCTTGAGATCAACAATATTCTGAGGTGTAAACAAGCAGGTTTTAGGCCGCAAAGATCAACGAACCAACAAGAAGCCACTTTCTCCCAACACATCAAAGATGCCATTGATGCAAGAAATACTATAAAGGCTGGTTTCGTCAACTTCAAATCAGCATATGACTTAGTATGGAAAGAGAAGCTAATTCTAAAATTGGCAAAGATAGGTATTAAGCATAACATGCTAAACTGGATAAAAGCATCCATTGGACAAAGATCATGTAAAGTCAGATATGTAAATGCTCTATCAAATTGCAATCTTTTACAAACAAGCTGCACTCTTTCAATATCTTCATCAATGACATAGCCGAATTGGTACAGCTCATCAATGACATAGCCGAATTGGTACAGACAGTCACGAGCATCGAGTGCTTACTTTATGCAGATGATCTTGTTCTAGGGTATTTGGTCCCTACGAAAATGATCATGGAGGACAGAAAGTGTCCTAAATTGTGCACTTAAACTACTATGTGCGACAACAATGGAATGGTAATTAACACCGCAAAAAAATCTGGGAACTTTTTCTTTGGCCCATCACTGCATAAACCTGCTTCTAAGGTACAAGGATACTACCAGAGAAAAAACAAATGAGTTCACATATCTCGGAATGACGTTTGACACAAAGCTAACGTGAAAAAGTCACATTGCTTAAATAGCACCACCACTGACAAGATGTTTATTCAGCCAATAAAGTTGTATTGCTGTCTACCACTCATTACAGCCACAGAGGTGACACTCAAACCACTCGAGAAGGCACACAACCAGGCATTACGACTAAATACTGGAGGAATAAAATCAACACCCATTGATGCAATGGTCCAAGTTACAGAAATCATCACAATTTGCTCCATTATCAAAGAAAAGGCCTTGATCCTGTATGAGAAGCTACTACGCATTCCCATGGACATCTGCAAGCGCAATCTGGTCTAATACTGAAAGGCATAGAACTAAAGAAAGAATTACAAATCGATGACAAACCAAAAGGCTCTCTCCCCCCATGAACCTATTGGCAGACACTGATGTAGTTTGTTGCACCCAACTGCTTGAATCCTTCAGGAAATCAAACACTCCTCCAGAACAAATGCGCTCACTGACCCTTGAGACAATCAATATCAACTATCCTGAAGATAATTGGCTCCAAGTCTTCACTGATGGGCCATTTATAGAAAACCAAGCAAATGTTAGTGCAGGTGTCTACTCAGAACTCTACTCTTTCAACGCAGTAGCGGGACACAATAGATCCGCTTTCGAGGGAGAAAAGGAGGCCATTAGGTAAG